TAAAGTATCATGTCATCTGCAAATAATGATAATTTAACTTCTTTACCTATTCTTATTCCTTTTATTTCTTTCTCTTGTCTGATGGCTCTAGCTAATGATTCCAGAACTATATTGGCGTGGTGACAGAGGACATCCGTGTCTTGTACAAGATTTGAGAGTGAAAGATTTCAGTTTTTACCCTTTTAGAATTATGTTAGCCATTGGGTTATCATAGAAGGCTTTTATCACATTGAGACAGAGGGCATCTATTCCAATTTTCTGTAGTACTTTGAACATGAATGAGTGTCGGACATTATCAAAAGCCTTTGGTACATCAATTGAGATGATCATGTGGGTTTTAGATTTGGCTCTATTGATGTAGTGTATTACATGTATAGATTTGTGTATACTGAACCATCCTTGCATCCCTGGGATGACTCCTACCTGGCTAGGTTGTATAATCTTCTTGATGATTTGCTGTATCCTATTTGCTAAGATTTTATTGAGGATTTTTGCATCTATGTTCATGAGGGAGATTGCCTAAAAAAATTTGAAGAACAATTTTCATTGCAAATATAGCAGGCATCCAGAAAAGGGCACTAATAATAATTGCAGGTATAGATGCATTTCCACAAAGCTAATACCCTCCTATATGCACAGTATCCATATTACAAAAAAAAATGACACCCAACTCAGAAACATCTCTCTATCATTATTTTGTTACTACCCTCCTATCAAAAGATAAGGACAGTCCTGAATTCTGTTGTCATCTTTTCTTTTTCTCACTTGGCTTGGGTATTCTTACCCTAATATATTTTTTATGTATTTTTTCTCACTTGGCTTGGGTATTCTGACCCTAATATATGTATTTTTTTATTTAGTACAGGGTGCACAGGATCTCCTTACATTGATTGGACTCACAGTGATCCTCCTGTTTTCAGCCTCTGAAGCACTAGGATTATAGGTGCAAGCCACCACGCCCAATCTCAATCACCTTCTCAGTGCACCCTGAGGATGGGGCTGGCATGGCCTGTGGTTATAGGGATCGAACTCTGATTCCTGCACTCTCCATAAGCAGGAGCTTTAGCCTACTGACCAATCTATCTGGCCCCTAATATGTTGTTTTTGATCAATGATACTTTCCAATTTTCTTCTGATTTGCCAATATTTTCCCATTTAGATGATCATTTTTTGTATTCTATTTAAGTTTTTGCATACATCAATGTCAAAAAATTCTTATATGAAATATTTTAAGTTATTTATTCTTTTTATATGTAAAGTCATTGTCAGTTTAAAATATTTTTGAATTAATATGATTAAAGCCAAATTTTCCCCAAGTGCCTGTGTCGCATGTTTTGAGAAGATGATATATTATTTTTGAAGTGTCATCACTGTGATTGTCTACTGAAGTATTACATCTTCATTTTTGCTTATGCTGAAATACATTTTCTTAATTACTATAGCTTTAATGGCTTTATTTTATCTTGGGTTTTATTTTTGAGATGTAGTTCTTCATTAAAAAGATTATTTTATAGAATAGGTTTTTTTTTTGTTTTTGTTTTTTTTCAGAACCAGGGATTGAACTCAGATCCTTGTGCTTGCCAGTCAAGCACTTATCCTACTGAGCCATCTCCCCGGCCCCCAGAATAGTTTTAGAATCAAAGAAAAAACGATCAGAATTATAGAAATTTCCCTTGTATCTTCCCACACATGCACAACTCTTCATATTACTAGCCTCCCCCACCATTTCATATAACTGATGAACAAACTCTAACACACCTTTATCACTAAAGCTGAAGTTTGAATTAGGGTTCACTCTTGGTCCTGTGCATTCTATCAGTTTGAAAATTTATGATGACATGTACTGCCTTCAAAATACTATCAGAAAGTTTTCAGTGCACTAAAATTTTCTATGCTCTATTTATACCTCCTCCCCTATTCCAAAATCTCTAGAAAACATTGACATGTTCTCAAATCATATAGCATGAAGTCTTTTCACATTTTGCCCTCTTTCACAGGAAAATAGTTTACCGATGACTTTTCGTGTGTTGACCATTAATTTCTTTTTGGCATAATAAGACCATCTGTCTGTTTAACCTTTTGTTTGCCCATTCACTTGTTGAAGCTCATTTTGGTTATTTCCACATTTTAATGGTTCTGAATAAAGCTGCTATAACCTCTCTGTGAAAGTTTTTACATGGAGACCATTTTCCGCTCCTTTTCCTCAATACTAAGGAATATGATTCCCAATTATGCAGTGAGTGTTTAGTTTCGTATGAAATGCCAAACTTTCTTTCAAAGTAACAGTACCATTTTTCTTTCCAACCATCACTGAAATAGAGTTCCTGTTGCTATACATTCTCATCAGCTTTTCGTGTTGTCAGTGTTTTCCAGGTTAGCTATTCTAATAGTTGTGTAGTGGCATCTTATTTTCATTTAATTTGTATTTTCCTCGTTACATATGATGTGAAGCATCTTCTGATGTGTTTATTTTCAGTCTCTACTTATTCTTTAGAAGGTGTTTGTTAAGGTCTTTGGTCCATTATTACATGTGGTTTTGTATTATTACATTTTTAGTCTTTGTATGTAATATTTTACATAAGAATGTTTTATCAAATATATTTTTGCAAATATTTTCCTAGGCTATGGCTTATTTTTTCATTCTCTTTGTAGAATCTTTTATTTTATTTTATTTTTTTATTTTTAGGGAAGGGTCTAGAGGGTGTTCAGGGTCTCACTACTAGATCGGATTCATAGTGATCAGCCTGTTTACAGCCTCCCAAGAGCTGGGATTACAGGCTTACTCTGCCACACACAGTCTCAACTGCTGTCTCAGCACACCCCCAGGGTGGGGCCAGCACTGTAGAATCTTTTATTTTATTGGCAGAACCAGGGATTGAACTCAGGCCCTTGTGCTTGCCAGGTAAGTGCTTTTTTTTTTTTTTTTTTTTAACAGACTGGGGATTGAACTCAGGCCCTCATGATTGTCAGTCAAACGCTTATTCTACTGAGCTATCTCCCTGGCCCCTAGAATCTTTTAAAGAGTAGAAATTTTTAATGGAATTCTTTTATCAGTTCTTTCTCTCATGAGTCATGCTCTTGGTGTGGTATCTCCAATTTTGTTCTTTTTCCTTCAAAATTGCTTGAGTGTTATTGTCTCTTTCAATTTCTATGTAAACTTTATACTCAGATGACCAATTTTCACAAAGAAGCTGCGAAATTTGTAATGATTCATTATTTTATCTTTTTGGAAAAGAAGTTTATTTCTTCCCTTCCTATCATTGTGCCTATTACTGTTTTGTATTTTCCCCACTGGTTAGAATCAGTAATAAAATACTGAATCAAAGTAGAAAGGATGGGTGTCTCATACTTCTCCTGGGGAGGGGAAAGTTTTTAATAATTTAGCATTCATAATGGGTTTTTTTTGACAAAGCTAAAATCTTTTATTTGGGCAAAGGATAACAGAATGGTGTTAGTCTTCTAGCTCTTTCTTTGAGTCAAGTGAAGAAAGACTTTTTTCCAAATGTATTTAGTACAGGGTCTCACTACATAGGTGGGGCAGCATTCATAATGTTTACTATCAGTTTTTAAAGATGCTTAAAAATTCTTTCCATTTTCAATTGTATATAATTCTGTCATTAATATGTGCTGAATTTTATCAAATGACTTCTGTCCCTGTTGAGGTAATCACATTATTTTTCTCCCGTATCTATTGATACTGTGAGTTACACTGATAAAATTTCAATTGCACTAGCATATACTGTTAAAATAAACTCCACCTTTGATATTTTTTCTTTGATATATATCTGCAAATTATGTTTGCATATTTGTATTTTATTTTATAATAAGGGGTCTTGCTACACAGTTTGCACTCCTAGTGATCCTCCTGGTCTCAACCTCCCTAGTGCTATGTCAACTTATTTGAATAAGCTGTCTATGGGGCCGGGGAGATAGCTCAGTAGAATAAGTGCTTGCCTGGCAAGCGGAAGATCCTGAGTTCAAACCCCAGTACCACAAAACAAAAATTAAGTGAATAAGCTGTCTATGTTTTCTAGTTCTTTAATAGTCTTGTATGTGTTTGTGCATGCATGTGTGTTCCATTTTATTCGATCAGGAATTTGGACTACAGTAGCAAGTCTTCCAATATAAATGTAACTTGTCTAGTTTGCATCTGTACTCTACCAGCTTGTGTTTTTATGCTCAGTGGTTATTTTATGGAGAAGTATTCAATTGTTAACTCACATTTGTGATTGTATTTACCTTTCAATCATTATAAAACATCTCTGTTTTCACTAGCAATGTATCTTTTCTTAATGTCTCCTTTGTGTTACATAAATATAACCATACTAGGAGTATTTTGGCTAAAGTTTGTATTATACAACTTATCTTACTTTCTAACATTCAATATTTCTGTTATGTCTTTCATCTGTTTCTGTCCCTTATACACACACACACATTCACACATACACTTATTTGATAGCGTGCATTTTGCTTTTCCTTAAATCTAATCTCATAATTTTGGCTAATTGAATTATTTAGTCTACTTATAATGAATGCAATGGCTGATATTTTCCATCTATACTTTTCCATTTTTTCTTTTTTTTTTATTTTACAGAACCAGAGATTGAACTCAGGCCCTTACGCTTGCCAGGCAAGCGCTTATTCTACTGAGCTATTTCCCCAGCCCCCCTCCCTTCAGTTAGTTTTTAAATTTATTTTGTTACTGCTCACCCAAGAAATTATAATGTATTTTTTGTAGTTTTTTTTTCTTGAAACAAGTTCACACTATGCAATAGAGGCTGGCCTTAACCTTTCTATATAGCCCAGGGTGACCTGGAACACACAGTAATCCTCCTGCCTCATTGTCCTGAATTCTGAGATTACAGGTGTGTCACAAGCATGCATTTTAAATCTAAAATA